TATATACATACATATATACATACATATATACATACATACATACATACATACATACATACATACATACATACATACATACATACATACATACATACATATATACATATATACATATATACATATATACATATATACATATATATATATATATATATATATATATATATATATATATATATATATATATATAAGCACTTAAAATTAATGCCCGTAAATCGTAATGCATAAACATCAATTTATATATTGTGTAGGATTTCAAAGATTTTCTCAGTATTCAGGCCTGAAATATTTATACATTTGAAAACAACACTGTCTCGCGCTTTCCTAGGTCTGTATAAAGAATATACCATCAGAATAATATCGCCACTTAATTGAATGCCCGTAATGCATAATATCAACTTATATATTGGGTAGAATGTCAAAGATTTTCTCAATATTTACATCTGAAATGTTTATACATTTGAAAAAAGCACCGTCTAGCTTCTTCCTAACTGTGTATATAAATGAATATACCGTCTATTAGCGTCTAAATAATATCGGCACTTGATTGAATACCTGTAATGCATAACATCAATTTCTATATTTTCATAGATTCTCAAAGATTTACAGTATTTACTCAATATTCACATGTTTATACACTTGAAATATACCGACACTGTGTCGCTCCTTCCTCACATCGTGATCTGCGGCTTGATAGCGCCTGATATAGAGCATGCGCATTTGCACTGCTAAAGAAAAAATGTTCTGCAAACATTCCAACCGTCCCGAATGGCAGCTTCTAGTTGCACCAAACAATTGCCGAGTTTGTCATCGATCGTTTTAATTCTCATAACATACGTTGTTTTCACAATTTAGCATTCGCTTTCAATACCTATTCGTTTTGCCAGGGCTACATGAAGTAAAGCAGCATAACAGAAGCGGGTGCAATAATCGCGGGCTCTTGAATACAAGAGGTCACGGAGAGGATCACAGTTCAAAAGACCAGCAGTAAAACCTATGGTAAAACGAAACAATTTCGCCAGTACAGTACTTCAATGAAATTAAAGCTTCTTGAGAAAATGTTATGTTACTTATGGGTTTCAACGTTAGTGTAATAAAACTAGTTTTTGTGGCATCCACTGTGGATTTAACAATTTATTGTTTAATTCAAACTCAACTCAGCCAATTTTAACACTAACCCAAATAGACACCGCATGAATGAGAAAAGCGCGGCATTTATTTGAGGGAGGCGTTTATTTAAGTAAAATGGGAAAATTGGGAAGTGTCCCGTTTTGAGGACTCGGAGGTTGGAATGTCTGGTTCTGGGGTAAAGATACTTTACACAACATGAAAAGCGCATGTTATAAAATTTACAATAACGACAACAATTCCTCTAATTTTTTGTAAACTTGGCAAAATTGGCAAAAGGCCTAAAGAATATTTAAATAAGACAACTGAAATTGCCTAAATAACCTTCAAAGCACTAAGTACGATAAATCACTACGAACATATATCGTATACACCCCCCGGAAAGTTTACTGTATGACTGACTGACTGACTGACTGAATGAATGACTGACTTGTTTGAATTTACCCCCAGTCATCACAATACTGTGAAGTTACTTCACACTAAAAAGGGAAGGAAGAAAAAGGGAGAAAGAAAGAAAGAAAAAAGGAAGGACAGAAAAAGAAAAAAGAGAGTAACTGCACCAATAAGTAGCCATTTTGTTCTGGGACAGATACTAGGTGTAGGGGGTGCCCCCAAAATAATTTCTGAAAGAACTTTGATAGCATAATGTAGCCTCATTTGCAGGCAACCTTGTTCTACCCCCTTTGTTGGCTCTGTATCGTACCACTGCCCTGGTTCCAAATTTTGCTATCTGTATTGTTTCCCTCCCTCCTTAATTTCGATTCCCAATTTTTATTTCTATAGGAAGTAGTAACAGTAACAATAACAAATTACTTTATTAGCATGACTTTACATACAAGTATTGCTTATTAGTTGGTATAAATATTTACAAATGCAAAATGTTTTGTGGTAGTATGACATACTGTCAGTATCGAGTAATACCAGGAATACAAAATGAAGTTATTGGGATAAAGGAAGACTTAGTTTACATACAAGTACCGTATTTACAGTATATAATTGAAGAAGTTTGGGTTTTAGTTAAACAGCCTATTGACTGTCAGCCAGGGGCGGATCCAGACCGATGCCAGCGATGCGAATGCATCGGTCAAAATTGAGAAATCATGATTCATGTTGCTTGAAATATATAGCTATATAATTCGCCAATAGTCAAAGCAAAGCCACACAGTAATAAAATATCTCCTATCAACCCGCAAATCTTTGCTTAAAATTGACTCCATGTCAGGAATACACTATTTAGGATGAAATTCAATTTAAATAGTCTCAATAACAGTCGAAATTGTCAAAATAAGTCCAACATACGACGTTGCAAATTGCGATCGCAAATGTGTACTTTCTGTTGTTTTGCGACACTTAAGCGTCAATATTTTCGCGACAAAATATGTTATTTTTTTACTGCATCCTTGACGTCACAGTTGAAGCAAAATGCATCACCTACGTCACGTTAGATTCGATTGGCATCCATTTTGCATCAGTGAATGCATCGGTCCCGAGTCCTTTTCCGCGTGAAATCTAACGTGACATCATCAAATCTATTGTTCTAGAGCCCTACGTCACGTTAGATTTGGCCGCTGAGCGATGCATCGCATGCAGATTGCGGGCGCTCGCATCAGTGCACTGATGCAAATTATAAAATCAAATATACTGTGACGTAACGAGGCATTCGATTCAAGACATGGCGGCAAGGATATTTGATCAATTTGGATATGCGAATAATGCGAAGAGAAATCCCTCGAAAGAAATCCCTCGGAGAACATATAATTTACAGTCGAACCAATTACTACCAAGTGGAAGAATGGAAGGATCTTATATGCCCACGATGTGAAACTCGATCGAACTGAGGGCTCTAATTAAGTAAGTTAAATTTCTCTATATTTTTACAAATGGTAGTAAATTACTAAATTGTTCAGTTCAAGAAGTGTGTAAAGTGGAAAATCGGGTCCTGCACAATTAATATAGATTTGTATGTAATAACAAAATAATTACAGTTTGTGTCTATTACTGTTGTTGCTCTATATTCCAGAAAGACCAGAAAGATGTTAATGGTTGGGGGGGGAGGGGGGGGGGGAGAGTTTGACCGTAGACCTCTAGGTTTGCTTGTCTGGAGCCAAACTAGCCCCAATACAAACTCGACAGCTTGCTTTACTGAGGCAAATTTCATCTCTGTTTACATGGGATTATATCCTGTGCCCAGACCTTCATTTTTCTCACAGCTGGCGGGCAAATAAAAATGAAGACCTGATACACATGTTATTATGTTTGTGTGATTGTGTCCTACAACTGCCTTTATTGTTGTAACTCTGATTGGCTATTTCTGGCATGAGTATTCATGCCATATTTAATGTATTGTTTTGATAATTGGTTAATGCTATAATTAAATAATGATATATTTAGTGATTGCAACTATATTTAGCTTGTTGTTATTATGTGAAATTGACATTTCTTCTGGCACATTTTGATTGGATACCAAAAATAAAACTATAGTGTGGGTGGAAAGTAACTCTGAATGGATCAAGACTTGCATCAGTCTCTGTATGTAATTACAGAGCATAATTGCAAGTTAATCAGATTTCTAATAGTAATTAATGCAACATTGGTTAGAAGACTAAGGGGGAGTTTACATGAAAGGTAATTGTTTCAAGTTGCAACTTCCAGTGGTATCTCCTAAATATTTCATTTTCATTTTATATGGAAATGAGCTGGCATGCCTTGTGACGGGGTCTTTCTTTGCATTGCCTGAGTTATTGGGCAATTA